GGGGGGGAGAGAGTGACTGAGGGAGGGGGGAGAAAGAGTGACTGAGGGAGGGGGGGGGGGGGGGAGGGGGGAGGGGGGGGAGAGAGAGGGACGGAGGGAGGGGGGAGAGAGTGCAAGTGAGGCAGAGCATGTGAGATAGGATTCATGTGGAAGAGGGAGAAACAGACAGATAGAATGATAGAATGTGAGCAGGGCAGAGAGATGGGGGAAAGAGACAAAGCCAGAGTGTGCAAGAAAGAAACTGAAATAAGGGAAAACGGAAAGAACAAAACAAGTGACAGATGGAGACATAAACAGCACAAAGAGAGAGAAAGGTTTTGTCAAAGGGAATTCATGGTTACTGCAGCAGATGTAACACTACCTGTTTACTGCCTTTTTCCTCAGTATCCAACGGCCCAAACATACTTTCCAGGTTCACCAAAACTTTACCTGCAGTTCATACAATCTAGTCTACTGCATTCGCTGCTCACAATGTGGCCTGCTCTACACTGGGGAAACGAAACGTAGACTGGGTGACCTGCTCACAGAAAAGACCCTGAGCATCCAGTTGCCTGCCACCTTAACGCATCACCCTGTTCCCCAGCCAGTGTTCCAGCAAAACTCAGCACCTCATTTTCCATTTGGGGATCCTGCAGCCCTCCGGACTCAATCCCCTGCACGTGGCCGGTCTCCCCACAACTACTGCCCCCACAACTACTACTATAGAATCATAGAACCCCTACAGTGTGGAAACAGTCCCTTTGGCTCAACAAGTCCACACTGACCCTTGGAGCATCCCAGCCAAACCCAAACCCCTAAACACTGTGGGACAATTTAGCATGGCCAATCCACCTAACCTGCACATCTTTGGACTGTGGGAGAAAACCGGAGCACCTGGAGGAAACCCACACAGACACAGGGAGAATGTGCAAACTCCACACAGACAGCTGCTTGAGGGTGGAATCGAACCTGGGTCCCTGGCACTGTGAGGCAGCAGTGCTAACCACTGAGCCACCATGCCAACCCAATTTTACAGGTTGAGACACCCTCTCCTATGTCCTTACCCCCAAATACCAGACCTTGTTATCGCATGGTCTGCTATTACACACCACCCATTGTTAACCACTAATAGTCCTCATTAGTGGCTATTCATTCTCCTCAGCTGATCATTATCCACTCCTTTGTCTGTCCAACTTTTGTTTCTCTTTGAGCTCTATCTTCACCCGTCATGTACTCTCACCCCCTTTCCCCCACCCTATCTCCACCTGTCACGTACTCTCACCCCCTTTCCCCCACCTTATCTCCACCTGTCACGTACTCTCACCCCCTGCCCCCCACCCTATCTTCTGGAAAAAAAACATCAGTTCTGAGGAAGGGTCACCGGACCTGAAATATTAACTCTGATTCCTTTCAACAGATGCTGCCCGACCTGCTGAGCTTTTCCAGCAAACTCTTTCTGGTTTTGATTTATAGCATCCACAGTTCTTTCAGTTTTTATTTGTAAATCATTGTTAACAATTTATGGGAGTTCTTTGAAGGGGTAGTGTGCTATGGTTAAATTGAAGCCTATAGACGCACTGTCCTTGGATTTCCAAAAGGCACATGATTTGTTACCACCTCAAAGGCTGTTACTAAGGGTGTAACATATTAGCATGGAGAGAAGATTGGCTGGCTGGCAGAAAATAGAGATTGTGTATAAATAGCAGGATGTGCTGAGTGGAGTCCATAGCGTCTGTGGTGGGGTCTCAACTTTTTACAATTTACATTAATGACTTTGATGAGAGGAGTAAAGGCACGGTAGCTAAAATCACAAGTGACACAAAGATAAGTCATAAAATGTGTTGTGAAGAAGATCTGAGCATTTAGACAGATATAGAGAGGTTCACTGAGTAAGCAAAAGTCTGGTAGATGAGCACATAATGTGTGGAAATATGGAGTTGTTCACATTAGCAGAAACAATGAAAAAGTAGAATATTACTGAAATGGAGAACAACAGCGGAATTCCAAGGGGCAGAGGGATTTTAGTTGGTCTAGTGTCTGAGCCAGTAGAAGTTAGTATACAGCTGCAGCAAATGATTGACTTGGTTAATGAGATGCTGCCCTTTGTCACAAGAGGAAATGAACACAAAAGTAAAGAAGTTATACTCCAGTTATACAAGGCATTGGTGAGACCACATTTTAAATACTGTGTGCACTTTTAGTTTCCTTATTTAAGGAAAGATGTAAATGCATCGGAGATGACTATTCAGAGGAAGTGTCCCAGATTGATACCTGGGAGAGATGGGTTGTATTATGAGGAACATTGGACAGATCGTGTTTGTTTCCACAGGACTTTAGAAGGGTGATCTGTTTGAAGTGTAGCAGATCCTGAATGGCCTTAACAAAGTGGATGAGGAAGGGATGTTTCCTGTTGTGGGTCTCTCCTGAATGAGGGGACCCTATCTTAAAATTAGAGATCGACTTTTCAGGACAGAGATGAGGAGAATGTTTTCTCTCAGAGTGTTGTGTCACTTTGCAATCTCTGCCTCAGGATGTGATGGAGGAGGGTCGTTGAATATGTTTAAGGCTGGAGGTAGATTCTTGCTAAACAACAGGGTGAAAGGTTGTCAGGGGAACGTGGATTTGAGGTGACTGACAGGTCAGACATGATCTTGTTAAATGGTGGAGTAGGCTCGAGGGACTGAATGGCCTCATACTGCTTGTAATTCATATCTGTGTATGACAGAGGGAGAGAGAGAAACAAAGAGAGAGCCAGAGAAAAAGATGGGGAGAGGGAGAGAGAGGGAAGGAGTGACAGAGTGATAGAGAGGCAGGAGCTGATAGAAAGAGACAGTGACAGAACGAGAGAGATAAGAGCGATAGTATCAGGGCTTCACTCAGTCCAGCTCTCTCAATGCCCATCCCCCTCTCCATTGAAGGTCCTGGTATCGGATTAATGTGAAATTCTGATGTTGTGAATCACAGTCTGACTGAGAAAACTCCAGTCAGCAATTGGACAGAGAGTCAAGGACGGAAATACAGCAGCCAGCTAGTCAATCACAATGTGAACCAGCACTGTGAATAAACACTCACTATCTACCAGTCAATCAGGGCCGGGGGGGGGCTACCATTAACACTCACTAACTACCAGTCAACCAGGCACAGGGGGGGCTACAAGTGAACACCCAACAACTGCTTGTTGCAATGTGGTTGACTCACAACTGCCCTCTGAAATGGCCTAGCAAGCCACTCAGTTGTACCAATCACTACATTACAGCGCAGTACAGGCCCTTCAGTCCCAACAAAGAAATTAAGCTGGATGGATCACCTGGCATCGACCTAGGCACCGGAAAAGACAACGGCAGAAACAGCTCTGTCGACCCTGCAGAGTCCTCCTCACTCACCTCTGGGGGTTAGTGCCAAAATTGGGAGAGCTGTCTCACAGATTAGTCAAGCAACAGCCTGACATAGTCATACTCACAGAATCATAGGTTACAGGCAATGTCCGAGACACCACCATCACCATCCCTGGATATGTCCTGTCCCACTGGCAGGACAGACCCAGCAGAGGTGGCAACACAGTGGGATACAGTCGGGAGGGAGCTGCTCTGGGAGTCCTCAACGTTGAGTACAAACCCCATGAAGTCTCATGGCTTCAGGTTAAACATGGACAAGGAAACCTCCTGCTGATTACCACATACCGTCCTCCCTCAGCTGAGGAATCAGTATTCCTCCATGTTGAACAACACTTAGAGGAAGCACTGAGGATGGCAAAGGCACAAAATGTACTCTGGGTGGGGGATATCAATGTCCACCACCAAGAATGGCTCAGCAGCAGTACTACTGATCGAGCTGGTCGGGTCCTAAAGGACAAAGCTGCTAGACTGGGTCTGTGGCAGGTGGTGAGAGAAACTAGAAGAAAGAGTTGGCCATTCAGCCCATTTGAGCCTGCTCTGTCATTCAGTATGATCGTGCCTGATCTCCATTATCAATATTTCCACTTTCTTCTCATACCACCTGATGCCTTTAAAATCTAAGAATTTATCAATCTCTTTCTTGAATCTATTCTGACTTGGCCTCCACAGCTTTCTGTAATAGGGAATTCCACAGGTTCACTATCCCCTAAGTGAAGAAATGTTTCCTCATCTCAGTCCTAAATGGTCTATCCCATATCCTGAGACTGTTTCCCCTGTGCCATGACACTGGTACTGACATGGACTATGACTTGAGGCTGTTCACCTTCCCCTTCAGAATGCCCTGCAGCTGTTCAGTGGCATCTCTGACCCTGGCACCAGAGAGGCATCACACCATCCTGGAGTCAC